GAAGGCCTTCAAGGAGATGGATTGACACGGTGGCTGCGATGATGGGCTCAAGTATAGTGGGGATTGTGGGGCTGGCGCGGGATCGGGCAGTGTTTTGTTCTGCTGTGCATGGGGTCGCTATGAGTCGGAAATGACTCGACGGCACTTAACAACAACAACATCCTTTAATTACACCTGATGACTCCATTTATTTTTATCATTTAAAACTGCAAGGTTATTCTTTAAATTTGTAATAGATTTTTACATTTTACAGTTCCATTAAATTTAAAGGAAGAAATCACAAGAATATGCAGAAGCCTGTGGGACGATCAGAGCTCTGAGATGCGTAGGACCCCTTACTTCATCAGGCAGATTTGCCAAATGAATTTTGGCACCAAATTAAATATATACATATATATGTTTTTGTTTTCTGAGATCTTTGGATCATGAGATATAGATAACAGATAGAGGACCCGTGTTGTATCCTGGTTCTAATCAGCTTAAAGCAATAGTTCTCATTTCCTATTACATTTAGTGGAAATCCAAAATCCTAACATCACCGAGAAGTCCTTTGAGCACCTGCCTCCATGTGATTTCCCCACTCTAATCTTTTCCATTCCTTTCCCTCCCTCTCTGTGCTTCTGTGAACTGTTTTGTTCTGGTTTCTTGAAGAAGTCTATCAATTTTTTCAAGCTTTTGCACATTATGACCATGGCCTGAAATGTGCCCCCTTTCAGCCCAAACTCACACACAAACCGCACTCTTCCCCTTGCTCACATCAACTCCATATATCATGCAACCTGACTTAATTAGCTAGTGCTGCTATGGCAGAAATCCTGCAAGTGGGTTTTGGAAATTTATTTCCTCACAGTTAGGAGGCTGGAAGTCGGAATTTCAGGTGGTGGCTTTAGGGGAAAGCCTTCTCTCTGTGTCCTCTGTGGAGGAAGATCCTTGTCTCTTGAGCTTCTGTTCCTCAGGGATCTTCATGTGGCTCCACAGCTATCTCCCCATCTCTGCTTGCCCTCTTCCTAGCTTGCTCAGTCTGATCTTTTTATATCTCAGAAAAGATGGATTCAGGACACATCCTACACGCACACTGAAAACCCATTCCCACATGGGATCATAACCACAGGTACAGGGATTCAGATTTATAACAAGTGTAGGGAGCAGGAGACACAACTCAGTCCATAACATCATCTGAAATGTCTCTTTTCAGAGAGGCCTTCCTTCTCAGGCACCCTAAGGAAATCTGGATCATTCCATCATCCTCTGTTACAGAAATCCACTCTTTGTTTTTTGACATTTCTCACAGCTGAATAAATTCTAGTTTGCCTTTTGTCTGTCACTTTCACTGAAACTGAAGCTCACTGAACAGGGCAGAGAAATCTGTTTTCCCTCCTTTGGCTTCCCAGGGGGCAGCACAGGGCTGGCACGAGGTGGGGAGTGAAGGAGTCTCTGCAGCCTGAAGGGGGAAGGAAGTGTCAGAGGAAGAGGGGAAGAACTGTGGGAGAAGAGAGGAGGGAGGCTCAGGAAAAGGTGGTGTAGACGCAGGGATGGGCGCATCCTCCAGTGGCTCAAACGTGGAGGTCTCTAGCCAAGTGTCTAAGCAAAAGTGGATCGAAAGGACCTTGGAACATGCGGGTGTCCTCCGCCCCGCGCGGCCTCAGGATCAGACGGGTGACACACGAACCCGCACAGAGCAGGTGGTGCCCGTCAGGGGTCTCTAGTGCCCTCCACCTCCCTCTGGGGCGCCCTGACTGGCTCAGTTTGCCGTCAGTTTCTTCCCGAGGGGCTGCCCGTGACCGGCTCATCGCTGTCCACACAGCACATTTCCTGGAGCAGGCTAAGTCCGAGTGTCATTTCACCAACGGGACGGAGCGAGTGCGGTTCTGGACAGATACATCCATAACCGGGAGGAGTACGCGCGCTTCGACAGCGACGTGGGGGAGTTCGTGGCGGTGACGGAGCTGGGGCGGCCGGACGCCGAGCACTGGAACAGCCAGAAGGAGCTCCTGGAGGATGCGCGGGCCGCGGTGGACACGTACTGCAAACACAACTACGGGGTTATCCAGAGCTTCCTGGTGCAGCGGCGAGGTGAGCGCGGAGGGTGAGGGCGAGGGCGGGTGAGCACGGTGTCCGTGTGAGCGGGAGACGGTGTGTGTGTGTGTGTGACAGAAGGTGAGGGAGCTGAGTGTGGGATTGTGAGTGAATCTTGGAAGTTGGGAGGACTCGAGGGGTTGTGTGTTGGTGGGAGACGGTGAATATTGTGTCAGTGTGTGTGTGAGTGAGGTGAACGTGTGCCAAAGAGACTGTGTGTGTGTGTGTGTGTGATGAGTCCTTGGTGTGAGAGGACAGAGCAGGGAGAAGCTGGGTATGTGAGGTGTGGGTGCTGGAGGCTGGCCTTCAGGTTGTCCTTGGGCCACAGTGGGGAGCTGAGTGGGGAGGGAGCTGGGAGCTTCAGGGAAGGGGCCTGAGGTGGAGGAGACTCTGATTGGGGTGGGAGGTCCTCAGAGTTCTGGGGGGAATTTCAGATGCATGTGGTTGGGTGAAGGTTTATGGGAGTACAGAGGAGGAAGGTAAACATTTGGAATAAGGTGAGGTTAGTTACAGACTGTCCTTACCCAGGCCCTTCTGACTCCTGAAATCCCTGAAAGAAAAAGTATGTGGAGTTTGTTTCTTTGCAAAACCATTTCATTGAGGAGAAA